GGGGGGGGGGGGGTGGGGGGTGGGGGTGCAGGAATCTTGTACGGCCCCTAACACGACCCTCTGGACTCCTGCGCTCGACACCTCGCCCCCCCCCCCCCACCGCCGCCGCCAACAACAAGAGGTGCCCGTGAGCATCCTCGTCTGCTTGGGGACCCCGCGTTCGGGGCGGTAGCCAGAGGGAGACCGGAGACTCGCAAAAGTTTCGACGTTTAATGGCAAAAACAACAACAACAACAACGAAAATAAACGAGAGAGAGAGAGAGAGAGAGAGGGGTGGAAACGCGTGCGGTTCGCGGTGCCCGCGAGGTTTTGGGGAGGAGCGTGGCGTCTCTCACTCGAGACCCATGGGCTTGTGATTGAGGCAGGCCAAGTAGCAGCAAATGGTCCATGCTCGGTCCACCTGGGTCTCCATGGTCCGCGGGTGGGCGCTCCTCAGGAAGCGGAAGCTGAGCACCTTATCCACGTGACTCCTGATGCTCAGCACTTGCCGGCTCACCGAACGCTGCTCATCCGTCAGGGACCCCCCGAAGAAAAACTCCGGCAGCTTCATCCGCGCCACGCCCCCGGCCCGGCCCCCGCCCTCCTCGGCCGCCCCCGGCCCCCCTCCTTCCTCCTCCTCCTCCTCCTCGTCTTCCTCCTCGCCAGCTTCCTCTCCGGCCGCAGGACCCGAGGCGAAGGTGAGGTATCCACTTTGAGAGACCACGACGTATCCACACCGGGAGTAATGGCTGCGGTAGGGCCGGAACAAGCCGCGGGGCCTTGCCCCTCGGTCTTTGGCCTGGGCCTCGAAGATCAGGTCAGTGCAGTCGAGAAGGGTCAGGGTTTCCCCTCCCTGGTGTTTCAGGACTCGCTTGGGCTCAAAACTCTGGATATACTTGAGGCTGCAAGTCACAGGAATCTGGGGCAGACAGAGAGAGAGAGACAGCGGAGATTTGAGGCTGACACGTGCCTTGCGGCGCCATCTGCTGTAAGCTGTACCGTGACTGTTTACATAGCAAACATGAATGGGAGAGTACAGGCACTGGGTAGTGCGGGTCTAACCGAGGATGGGGGCGCGGGATACAG